ATGGTGATGTTTGGCAGCGGCCGCCAGCATTGACTAATCTGTTCGTCCCCCGGCATGGATAGATTTGGTATTTATTAAGATATATTCATTTCATATTCATATATTAATGTCCCTTCTAATTTAGGGCCTCCTACAAAGGCTGGCTGATGGGCACGTTTACTTTTCCCACAAATAACACTACCGACCTTGTTTTTCAGTATAAATAAGTTTTCGAGAAAATATGAAAAAACATCTACTTGAATTAGGTTCGTCACTGTGGATAACTATTTTTACTCATATGTACTCTTCAATTCAAATTTTTGAATTCTGATCTCATCTTGTTTGTTAAGATTCTTAAGCTAATTTGATTTACGTTGAGTTTCATGGTCCTATTTGCAGTATCTTTTATAAATTTAATAGATAATAATTTAGTTTCTAAACTTTAGAAGGTAACAATTTAGTCATAACGATTTAATCTCTAACCTAATTTTTTTTAGGTTAACAAACCAATAAGGGACCAAATGTATTTATAAATTACAAATATTAAATCATTATATGATAAAAAATTGACCCTAAATTTTGTGAGAATCTTCACTATATGGACTTAATTGTTATAAATTTTAGATGCTAAAGTTTAGAAACTAAATTATTATTAATGTGAAAGTAAATGAACTAAATCAATAGTTTAGGGACTTTAGCAAAAATAATGGGACCAAACGTAAAAATAGTCATCTAAAATCACTTTAGTAAGTTATACCGAAAACACACTCTAAAGTATTAACCTTTTTCATAAGTGCTAAGAAAATAACGTTGGTTGGTAAATAAAAAATGATTTAATACTCTTATACTCTTATACTTTCGTAACGTTCATTTTAGTCATTGTATTTTTAGAAAATAACTAATTTTCTCTATTTGCAAAATTTTAACACAATTATTATCCACCATGATAGTCTTTTAATACAAATTTATGGTTCAATTTCAAAAAAAATTGTAAGTAAAATGCCGTGCTAAAATCATAATCGAAATAAATGATATAAAAATAAAAATGAATGAACAAAAATAATCACTTTTTAATAAAGTAGAGAGTGAAAAGAGATGTTTTGAAAATGAAAATAAACTAAAGTATAGGTTGAAAGTATAAGTATTGAAATGGAAGATTTAAAATAATATGAAGTAAAATAAACTAAAGTTAAAATAAATCAACTCAAATAGTATTTAAACTAGAAAAAGTATTAAAAGAAAAAAAGGCATCCCAAATATACCATAAATTAATTTTAAATAGAGGAGCTGTCAACTAGGTTAGCTGAGTATGAAGCTGGGCCGAAACACAGAAAGTGGGCCGAAAAATTAGGATACACAATGGCGAAGAAGACCGCAAAGGCCATTTCTAAAATAAGAGAATAAAGGTATTTTTACTTTTATTTTTTATGTAGTTCTTTTCTTTTTCTTTTTTTTTTTTTTAAGAAAAAGAAAAATCTCAGAGATGGCATGGGTCAAAGTCATACAACCATAACTATAAGATAAGAATTATCAATGAAAAGGAGGTGTTTTGGTTGATTGCTTAATTAGCAGAAAAAAGAAAGAAAGTGATGCCAACTGGGAATGGGAATTGTAAGAGAGACGTAGATGAAGAAGCAGAAGCAGTTTGTTTTTGATTTGAACGAATTGCAGAGTTCCAGTCCATTGGAAAATTGAAAATTGGAAATTGGAAATGGAAAGTGCCTTTTTAACCGATATTTCATAGCCCTACGCTGCCTAACTCTGGAATATATCCTTCTGTTATTGATCATCTACACAAATAATTTGGTCATCTCTCATCATTTTCCTTTCAAACACAAATAACCAATGTTCATCAAAACAATGGGTTGATGTTAATCAAACATTCGAGTTGCCTTTCTTTTTCTCATTGGTTTTTTTATGTTCATCTTCAATTATAACCTGGATGTCGATTAAGAATATATGGAAAAGTTAAGGTACGTTCCATGTGGCTTGAACTCATCCCGAACTATCATTTGGAGACATTTATATTTCTTGTTTATTGAGAAAAAGAATGAAAAAAAAAAACATGTTTGGTAACTCTTCTCTATTTTTCTTTTACAACAACTTGTGCGGGTAGAGATTCGAATTCATGATCTCTTCATTGGAGATATATGTCTAAATAAAATTTAGTATATATAATATAAAAAGATATAATATATACTTGAACAATATAATAAATTTACAATACAAAGTCTAAATTATTAGCTTTAAATAAATAATAAAATTTTAAAATATTTTTAATTTAAAAAATATAAAATATTTTATAAAATAATAGAAAAAAGATATATAAAAAATAGGATTTGGAGATTCAAACCAAGAATTGGAGCTTGGATACGGTTGGCTCATATGCGTACACACCTATACACCAACAGAGGTGAAGATGATCTTAATTATTACAACACGATATACAATGTGTAATGTACAATATTGAATTAATATGAGATCGAGAAATGGAAATGGGAACGATTTGTGGTTTCTAAAATTTAGCCTATCTATTTCTAAAAAATTGAGAAACGAGAACAAGAAATAAAAAACATAAACGTTACGCCAAACATGCAAACATGCCATAAATGTAGGCTAAGAGTTGAATTAAAATGTATTATTCAAAGAGGAGGGTCACACTATGTATTTGGGTGTGAACCCATTATTTGATTGGGGAATGTTAATTAAGAATGAATAAAATATTTTTTTAGTTTTTTTTTTGGGAAGTATTTGAATTCAGTGAGGATTTAACATTACTAATTAAACTACAGAAAAATTGAAAGAAATATTTATTGATGAAAATAAAATGCATTGGATGGTTCGATATTATGAGAAAAAAGATACATAAATTCTCAATATAGAAGGAATCTTAATTTAGATTAAAAATCCAATTAATTAATATATGGTCACACCTGATCTTCATAATCAGAGACCAACGCTTTGATTTGTCATTTAATGGCTGATAGTGGCTTCCTTTTCTTTCCATCATTCATAATAATTAAATTAAAATTTATCATCAGTCCATGTCAGGTACGCTTCGCTCGACCATAGGATGAACATGTTTTGAGTTAATTACATGTCATGCCCTTTAGATTTAACAAACCCTAAACCTTCGAATTCCATGCCGTACATGACAAAATTTTAGAAATGGAATTCTGGACCACTATTTTCCTCAAAACAGTGCCTTCTTAATGATCATCAGAATCTCCTGTCTGCTTTTAATTTTGATTTGCTCCAAACTTTGCCAGCACCACACCAATAGCAGTGCACCAAAAAGGGCAAAAAGAAAAGAAACGTGGCACATAACACATAACACATGTTACCCCTACCTATAAAACATTGACATTAATCAAAATTCAAATATTATTATAAAACTAAAAAGGTCAATCAAAAGCTTAAAAAAAAACAAAGTGCTCTACTTGCCTTTCTTTTCCTCAGTTGCTTTTCCGAACAATAATAATAGCTCGCGGGCTGACCTTCAATAACACACCCCATTAACGCAGAAATTAATGGCAATGCTACCCRATAAAGTATACTAATTAGTAATTAACATATTTTGCCTCGATTCATTCATAAATATATAATTTTGATACATAGAATTACAACGTGTCAATCAGATTTATAATACGGCTGCAAGAAGAGAAAAAGATTTGGGATATCAATGTGGGTCGTCACCAACCTCTCTTGGTGGACATTTTCAATAACTTTTTTTTTGTTGTTATTTTTTCAACTTTATTTAATTTAACTTAGTCAATCAATTCTTCCTATTGAATGGTAGGGGCTGGTTACAAATTTGTTAAACAAGTCTTTCTATTAAAAGAGAATGCCCCCTTATAAAAAAGGGCGATCTCACAATATTTTGATCTACAAGTTATTTTCTATAAAAGAACATATTTTTGTGATTTCGGATCTCTTTCGAAGTCAGAGTGGAATACTATCAAATAACTTAGTGCAATGAACATATAGACACAGCTAAATCAAGAATTTATAAACTTCCCCTAAATGTATTTCCAACACCTCTCTCTCCAAAGTCCTAAAGTATATACATATCCATATCTCTAATTTATACGTAATTTTCTTTGGCCTAATGTGGAATTTCACACCTCGTCAAAAACCTAACTCGTTTTATCTTCAAAAATTTGGGTAGTCGCAGATTTGGACCAATCCACTATCATCATTTCATTGCTCTACTCTAAACCCAATCTCCAAGCCTCCAGCCTATAAATATCTCCCACAGGGCATTCATTTCCTCCACCCCAAGTCATTTCTACTCATCTCTCCTCTCTTTTTGAGTTCACATAAAATGAAGTTCTCAAAGCTATTTCTTTTGGTAGCCTTGGCCATCATCTCTCATTATGCGGCCCATGCAGCTGAAATTGAAATAGGCACCAAAAAGAATGCTGCTTCCCTAGAGGAAGAGGAGGCTCCTCCAGCGGAGACAGAAGACGATTCTCCATCGAGTTCGCACCGCCGCTTTCTCATCGACTTCCAACCTCTGCGGAATAAAATGACGTGCAACAAATACCCGAGAGTGTGCCGTAGCGAGGGCAGCGCGGGGCCGGATTGCTGCAAGAAGAAGTGTGTAAACGTGGAGACGGATCAATACAACTGCGGGAGGTGCGGGAAGAAATGCAAGCACTCGAAGATATGCTGCAAAGGGAAGTGTGTGAATCCGATGTTCAATGTGAAGCACTGTGGAGGCTGCAACAATGAGTGTAGTAAAGGAAGCTTATGCGTATATGGGATGTGTGATTATGCTTAATTAAGCTATGGCCCTTTCATGGCATGATCTACGTATAGAAATTAAATCATTTGTTAAGATTATAGATTTATGGTTCATATATAATTAATTTGCTAGGTTTTGTGCATGCATGTGTAGCACTGGGTGGTAATAATAGGCAAGGTCTCAATACCAGACTTTTGCTATAATCAAGGTCATTCTTTGGTTTCTTAATTTTAATTAAGCTAGCTAGGAAAAAGAAAGCTCCAAGATTGTTTACGTGATGTGTGTGAGATCTTGTGAAATATATGAATAGTCTATATTGATTATTTTGATGAAGTTTTCGATATTGGGTAATGTGTAACATGCAATTTCATGAGCCAAAAATAGTTTAAAATATTGGGCAAGTAACAAAAATTCTTTTTTGAAAAGAAAAAAAAATCTCACTCCATAACACAGATTTCATATGTATTTTAGAAAAGAATCACAAAATTATTTGAATTATGGTATTTTCTTCCTCTCCTTTGTTTGACTTGGCTTATAGAAAGGGGTGGAAATGGAAATGAAAAAAAATTATATAATATAAGTAGGGAGGGTTTTGAATTATCAAAAAAGATATGAAAGTTGGCTATGTCAAGTTTCTTATTCAATGAAGTCAGAAATAAGAGAGACGTAGAGGCATTTTCAACTTATAAAAGCGACTTTTTAACCTATTAAATT